GCCTAAAACAATCGTCACAATGAACTAAATATGATCCTTGGTTCATGCAAAAGGCATGAATTGCCTATTTTTGTGATAGATATGATATTGTAGGGGAAGGTTTTCCTAATAATTTAATCATATGTGTTAACGTATTCGTAAGCTTCGAAAACTCACTAATAATGCACAACACAACTGTAGTTCAAAAAATTAAATCATTCCATTTTACTTTTTAAACATGTGTAATACCCTAACCTGGGTCATCATAACTAATATCAAATTACATCAAATTTTTTGTTGATCTTTTCAGCAATGTTTGAATGCACCCGAAAACTTCAGCAGAAAAAAAAGCTTGTGATTGTGACATATGACGTACCGGACAACAGACCCCAAAACACTTTCTTTCCCGGGGATGAACTCCATTACTCTTGTCCCTTTGGGTATGCGATGCGAAGAGCTAACAAGAAAGTGAGAACATGCAAGCTAAATGGTAGTACACCGGAATGGCTGCCAAAGCTCCATCCTGTCTGCGTGGGTAATTACAGTATATATATTTTTAATTTTTTCCTGATCATTTTTAATGTTATAATGCCACGTAAAAATTATAGTTTATTTATAATTTAATTATTTTTGGTTTATAGATGCCAGATGCCGGGGTAGAAATGTTACAATTGCCAATGGCTCCACTGACATGACATCATCAAAAAATTACTTACGGAGTGAGGTGATACACTTTTTTTGCAACCCGGGTTATCGTCTCCTTGGCAATGCCTGGGCAACATGCTTGTCAGATGATAGCTTGGATGGACAGTGGAGCTCTGTTTTTCCTGAATGTGAAGGTGACAAATTTAATTCAAATAAATCAATGTAATAAAAATGAAATTAAAATACCTGATAAATTATTTGATTTAGATATCTTAACATTTAATAATTATGCTGGGGCCTGTTAAAGTTCTTTTATATTAATATAATTAAATATACAATATAAAGGTAAACTTGCATCGTAATTGTGCTAAAATGCGTATGGGCGTGGTCTGTGACCACCTAGCTGCTGTAAAGAGGCGCTTATAGTAGCTACATGTTCAGATCATTCCATAACAGTGGCTGAAATGAACCATAACATCGGGGTAACACCCTACTATTCCGAAAGGTGCAATGGGTGCTTTAACATGCACTCAAGTCAGATGTGTACACTGGACCTCCAATTTTAAGTCTACTCGAAAAGACTTGGTTCTACCAAACCAACCCTGGGCGAGGAGCAGCTGGAACCAGCGCAAATGTTAAGGCTGTATTTAGCGGCGCCCCTGCCTTACCGCTCGTCGACTCCACTCGCCAAAATATATAGTAACTATAATAATACATAATAAATAATATAAATATAGTACATCCTACTTATACAATAATAAAACAAAGGAATGTATAATGTATGCCAAAAAAAGAGACCTCAATTTATCTACGCAGTAAACATGTGTACTACTGTATGTGCATAATTTTTGTTTACAACACTAAAGTCTAAAACTAAACCATGACCATACATGCAGAACGCATCACCACTTTCCCTATTTTGGACCACAGATTTTGATTGATTAGTAAATCAATTATGAGATTTTTGAATAAAAAGCTGAATTCTTTTGATCTATGGTTTTCTATTTTATCTTGTTAATAAGCAATTTATTGTTTCAATTTTTTGTTTGAGAATGTTTTCCAAATTTGAATACACACACATACACTGAAGGCTGGTTTCGGCCTGTGGGGAGTGGGGTGCAAAAATGAGAATGAGAAACTAAATCCCAGGATGCAGAACTAAATCTCACTTAATGGTCATTTTCAGTATTTTAAACCCACTTAGCGGAACTGATTTGCTGCCATAGGGATGCAAGTCCCTCCCCCAGCCTATCCCATGAAAGGTACTAGATAGCTCATAATTCACATTATTGTTAATTTAACTTGCAAAATATTTTCAATCTAATGTTGCCTACTCTGTCTTTTATGTTATCTATAAGAAATTAAATGCCCTGATCCTGGTGTCCCAAGGCACGGGCAGCGCAGTGGTTCTGGTCCATTTCGAGACGGTGATGTGGTTGAATTTCGATGTTTTGCCGGTTTTAAACTTATTGGATCCTCTAGAAGAACATGCCTAAGTAATGGTGCTTGGAGTGGTTCCTTGACATCATGCGACAATCCAAGTGAGTGTCATAACTTTACACTTTTCTAAAATCTTAAAATTCCTTTGAAAATGCACAAACCAATCCCATGGATAAATTTATAATATAAACATTATGACAGGAGTCATTTTTTCCATTTTTGCAACTGTTTTTCTAACAATCTGGATTATTTAGATCACAGAACATGTGTCAATCCAGGCAGTCAATTAATGGCTATGCAGATGGACAACATTTCCACGTTCGTGATCGTGTACATTTTTCTTGTGATCACGAATTTGATTTGATTGGTCAAGACTCTATAAAGTGCACAGATTCTGGTGAATGGACAGCCAAGACTCCAGAATGCAAAGGTAAATGATGTTGGGCTTATAGTGAAAAAACCATAGTAAACTCCCAAGTAAATTTTATAGTTAATAAATTAATATCAAAGATTGCCAATTAACTGGTAAAACCATTATTGCGCCTTTCAGCAAAGTATGACTTTGACAATGAGGAGACAGTTTTAACCAATCTTGTCTGGGCAATCGATCACATGACCATTACTACAAGATCTTCATCGACTGACATTACCAACGACCCTTCTCTGTGTGTTTACCTTGTTCTTGATGGATCTGGAAGTGTTGGCAGAGAAAATTTTAACAAAACGATTACATTTTCAAAAGAACTGGTTCGGAAGGTAATGAAATATTTTTTAAAGCACTTTTTCATGCTGATTGTTTTGAAAAATCATGCCAGGTAAAACATAGTTTGAACTTGGTCATCAACTTATTCTGTTTCCACCAATATATATCATCATTATTATGTATTAGTAATATTATCATTATTATTACATATTATTTTTAATGTATTATCATTGTTATTATCATTATTGGTTTGGTTATTGTTATTATTATTGTTATGTTGCTGTTGTTGCCAAGCATGTTATACCAAGCACAAAAAGAAATTGTGTCTGTGGGACTTCAACCTGCAAATTTCGCTAAATTCATCTTTGTCACCCCGTAACTTAATTATTTCAGTTGTACCGTATTTATGTACATTTTTGTTGTATCACATTACATATATATTGTGATTATTTTCCGATAGGTTTCAAGTCTAATTAATCTGAGTATTCTAATTAAGGTCTCTTTATAAGATAATCACATGGGATCCTTATCCTAGTTGTGATTAAGGCCCCTTAGTACCAAACATAAGAATAATTTTGTTTTCTTTCTTTTTTGTAAATTGATCTAATGCTATACATTGTTATGTTTATACGTATGGAAAGTGAATATATATTTATTATATAATATAAACTGTATAATTATTAAAACATGATTATGTATGTACAGTACACATTAATATATATATATATATACTAATATATATATATATATATATATATATATATATATATATATATATATATACATAGACATATATATAGACATCTCTATATAT